ATAAATGGTCAAGTTCACTACAGAGTGAGGATACAGGAAGGCACTGTTACAAGTTTTATTTTTGGCCTTCGGCAACGTTCCTCACCAGGTAAGGAAAAAAATTATACCGCACTGCCATATAAGCTATTACTAAGAAGTAAGAAAAAGGTTCATATGTGTTTTTTCCCCAAAATTGGGAAATAAAACAATCACGGTCATCTCCATGGAAATTTCTTTGCATTGTGGGTATCACCAATACATCTCTCTTTATGAAAACAAAAGGGGCAACATTATTTTTATGCTCCAAACAGTGATAAAGGTTCCTCTTGCTGTGTCTTGTCTCATTCCTACCTGAAAATAAAAGGCTAGAGTAAAGGTCAAGTTCCCCACCCCCAAACATTCCACTTCCTAGCTTTTGCATCAAATCATGACATCTCTTTCCCAGCTAGTGTTTATTACGTAAACTAATATTAATAAATAACTAATATTTTGCTGGGTATGGTATCTAGAAGATGCTGGAAGCTAATTCTGACTACATAGTTGTTATTGGACTCACCTCCTAGTGGGGAATGATCACAGATCCCCCCATTCTCCATTCTCCAATTTCCTTAAGAAAACCCTGCAATGACCAGACACAAGCACTGCCCATTTAGCTCCCAGGCTGGGCAAAATCAGAGAATGGGCAAAACAACAAAAGACCAAAGAGATGATGCAGAAAAGAAGAACAAGACTAGCTACTTAAGTCCCTTTACCAAGTGAAAAGCTGAGAAAGAGAAGAAGAGAAAGCAGGTGGTGAGAAAGCCAAGTGGGGACAAGGGATCTGGGGTAGGGAGGGTGACTTTCCTTGGTTGAAAAACTGTAAGATTGTGAGGGCTGGGGAAGAGCTGTTGTATTATATGTGGGTAGCTTTCAAACACTTTGAGAAACATTAATTTAAAAAAAAGAATTTTCTTACATACACACACACCAGCCCATGACACAAAGAATCACACAGTTTAATTATGACCACTGTCAGGAGTGCAGATAAATGAACCTGTATTGGGGACCTACTAAGAGCCACGTACACTTATTTAATCCTCACAACAGCCCTATGAAACCAGTATGTTTACCCCCTTCTAGATAAGACAGCTGTGACTCAGAGAAATTAAGTGAATCGTCCAAGGTCATAAAGCTACTAGTAGCAAGAAATGGAGTAGGAACAAAGCCTGCGCTCTTCGGGGCCTGCTGCTGGGAGCTGGGAACCAGAAGCACCTCAGGGACTGTCTCACCCGCGCATGGTGCGCACTGGGGTGTCTCTGCCTCTCTGCTCCATTGTGAAACTGGTGGTTCTCCTGACATTTCCTCAGCACAAGAGCTGAGGGATGTGTAAGGTAAAAAATGCACCCCCCAGTGCGGCCTTGTCCCTCCCACTGCACAGGTGATAAACGCCAGCACACATGCAAAAGCCACGGTTATGAGTTGCTCCAGGAACATTTTTACTCTTCTTTCCTTCTCTTCCTTAACACTGTCCCCTTTTTCCTACCGCCCACTTTGAGTTCTTTATCTACTGCTCATCTCCAGGCATTTCCTTTCACTGATCTTAAACTGTAGAAAACACAATCAAGAATTTTCTTTAGCAAACCTTGGTCATGTTTTGTGCTCTTTACTATTGTAACCCAGGACAAGAGTTGGATTCTTCTGACCCTTTTTACTCTGTCCAACTAAATTGTTGCAAACTCGCTTATTATAGCTATGAATAGCCCAGATTATAAGCCATAATTGCAAATTATCCTGATCTCATATTTCTTTTCTGTTTGGCAATGGTGTCATGACTGCCGAGAAATAAAGAATAATTGTTAGCTAGAGGGGAGCCAACAAGAGTTCTGTTTACTATGTGACCTCACAAACTCTTCATTTTCTCATTATTTCTAAGCTGCTTTCTTCCTTTTTTTTTAAATCGCAGGGAAAGAACAGAGACCCTCCTGAAAGTAACCTTAGAAAGGTTCAGTGTTGGTCTTGAGGCCCAGGACCAACAGATTCTTATTGCAGATGAAACCCCAGGCATCTATACTTTTCATTCCGAGTTAATTTTCTGTTCTTCTCTAGGAGGCAAAGCCAGGGGGTAAAATTTTGGCTGACAATGAGATTTACCCGTTTCTCAAAGGCAGAATCCACTGGTTGACCACACCATGAGCTTCCAACTTCCGAGTTACAGCACTAATCGTTGTTCCCGCCTTTTCCTCTGCTCTCCTCTACCCACCCATTTCTAGCCCCCTAGGCCAGCGTATCTGGCCTGTGCTCAGCCATAGGGCTAGCAATTTTGATTACCAGTGAAAGCCAGCTAGCATTCTCATCATCTTTGTGACAAATCATGATACTTAAAAGAAGCCTTAAGATGTATACATGATGTATACAGGCAAAAGTATTCCTACACACACACACACACACACACACACACACACACACACACCCCCGTCATTGTCTTGAATACTAAAGACAGTTTCTCTTTCTGCAAACACTTAGTGGCGTAGCCTGGTAAGGAAGACAGTGGCACCCAGTGGACAAATGTTTGACTGTTGAGACAGGTGTTCCATGCTGAAATATTCTCGTATCTCGTATATTAAGAAATGTCAGTTGCTCCCCTCCCATTTCTCTATCCGTCCTCCCATTTTTAAAATAATCTACTGAATTTAAAAGGGGAGTGGAATGTTCTTATCTTTTCAAGAATAAGACTAATCTAAAACACTGGAGGAAGCAACAATTTCAGGATTAAATCCTCTGAGAACAGTGTCTATATTTGATTAACCTGTTTCAACAGTAACAGTGGAGACAGCCAAACCTAGTAAAATACTCAACTTTCAGTTAAAAATATAATATTGAAAATGCTTGTCAGGTGCTTTTGTTTTTTTACACATTATATCCTCCTTTTCCTCAAAACATTGCCAACTTCCAATCGAATTCACTTGGTTGTGCAAATTTGGCAACTCCAAGGACAATACTTCAGGAAAACAACACAAATTCTGCAACTTAATGATATTGTGCAGTTTATCTGGGAGCCATACAAATACTGATTTTTACTCTTTACATCTTTCATTGATCGTTTTGGTTGTGAACCTCTTGGGTAGAGAAGCCCCGAGTATAGATCATCCTTCCCGAAACACCTAACTAGCATCTTACTCATGCTAGGTATAAAGAAGGTAAATAAAATCCAGTTTCCACTTTATATATTGAATCTTCTAAACGCTGAAAAAAAAATAGATCTAATTTTTGATGTTACATAAAGGAATCAGTGAGTTAAGAATCTTAAATGTTAGGGGCTCTTTGTATTGAATAAAATATTTTATAAAGAATAAGAGGATTAAGTACTGTATGGGTGAATTGAATTTTACTGATTTAAATGAGAAATAATTAAAAGATATTCATTTACACAATAAACATATATCTTAGTGCAAAAGTTAATACCAGCTGGGGTGCCCTCTGTTAGTTAGCCATTCAAAATTGCTTCCAGTATGGAGGGTAAGAAATTCTTAGTTTTTTTCCTTTGAAATGGTGCCCATGTTTATTATTATTATTTTTTCATAATATTGCCACAGTTTTAAGGCTTGTTTTTATTTATTTCAGAGAAAAGACCAGTTGGCAAGCCAGGGTTATGGCATGCTGCTGACATGGAAACTTTCCCAAATGGCTCTGGGCCTAGGGCAGCACCTTTCACTAAATGATGTAAACCCCCCATGACCCTTTGCATCATCACTTTTAGTCGGTAAACAATACACATATCCTGGCCCTGGCCAGGTACCTCAGTAGCTTAGTGCATCGTCCTGATTCCCTCAAGTTGTGAGTTAGATCCCTGGTCAGGGCACATACAATCAACCAATAAAAGCATAAATAATTGGAACGACAAATCAAGGTTTCACTCTCTTCTTTCCTCTTTCTCTAAAATCAATAAGTAAAATAAATGAAAACAGACGCACACACAAAAACACATCCCAAAGTAAGACATGCACTCTTTTGGTAAATTGAAAAAGAAACAGAGGCCATATGTGTGTTTGTGCCACTACCTTCCATGTTAATTATACTTATTTTTCTCATCACACAAGCATCTTTCCCCCTAGTTGCTGCAAAAATTCTTGTAACATGTCATGCAACCAAATTTTGCTAGGCAAACCTTTGTTATGAAAAACAAAAACAACTCTTAAAATTGTTTTTTCAAAAATTTCTAAGAATATATTATCATAATGTATCAAACCACAATAAGTCAATAGATGTTTATAACATTTCAGAGTTTCTGCTGTCCATTTTCCTCCACTGTCTGTCACCAACAGTGAGCAGTGGGCTCTGTAGGACTCGGGCTCTAGGCACCTTTGTTCTCTGGGGCTGAGCTCCCTGCCCAGGGAGAATGGACAACAGTAATCGTGGGATTTGCACCACACACTGTGCTGTTGCAAAGTGTAATCCTATTGGGAAATGGTCCAGCCCCTGTGCTGAGCTTTATTGATACCCACACTCGCTGTGTCTGACGTCAGAGACCTGCTGTGTACGCAGATCCCCTATAAAGCACCCAGGCTGCCCAGTACGGGCGGGGCTCCTCCTAGGACCTGCCTGGCTTCTGTGAGTTTCTCAAGATCAAGAGGGAAGCCAGTATTTGGAAAATTCTCTTTCCTCAAATAATTTGAGAAAATTTCTTCTGTGTGGTTCCTATAGGTTTTTACCTTACCTTTGGGCTTATCTGTTTATAATGCTTCACTTATTCAGGAAAACCACTTGCTTAAAGATCGTTTGCCTGACTCAGGGGCTGTGGTGAACGAAAATCAAAATATAATCGTAAAAGGAGTTGTAAAGGCTGAAAAGGTCCACACAGATTAAAGTAATTATTACTATATGTAAAATGCATGATATGCTGTATGTATGTGTGCACACGTGTGCACGAGTGTGTATATGTGTGTGTGTGAATAATTGCTGATGTTACAGCACGTATTTAGATTGACACTTGCTCTACTGAACACTGAGAAATACATCTTTCCATCACCAATGACAGGCATTACCTGCTCAGATAAGGCTTTAGCCTTTTCTTCCGCTTCCTTCAGGCAAACCTCCAAGGACTTGAGATGTGCCAACGTGAACGTCATCTGTCCAGTTCCCAGGGACTCTTTCTTTAAAATAACAACCAAGTATTACTTTTTGACATGGATAAGTCCCTGAGCATAAGTCTCAAACAACTTTATGGACTAAAGATAGGCTTCATAAACTCACACACATCATCTTTTTTCTTCTTCAACACAGTAATAATACCATGAAACAAGCAATAGCCTTATTTAACATTTAGGTTCTAAAGGAAGGGTAAAAATGCATATTAAAGTATAACAATGAATAGCTTTAAAAAGTTTGAATAAAATTGCCCATGTTGAAATTTAGTTGTTTTGCAACTTTTATTCTTGATACAAAAAAACACACAAACAACTTTCCCTCAAGAGGTTAGGACCAAAATTTTACATTCCTAATAAGAGATGTCACTGAGGACGCCTACATTTTAAACATTCACCTATCTTGAGAAACAGTCATCTGAATTCAGAGACCCTCTTGTTTCCTGTCATTTTCTTATCAGAAGTTCCATTAAAGCAAAGATACTACCTGGTTTAGAATCAGACCATCCTTCCCCAGAACACAGCTAATACGGCTCAAATCAGCAGATAGGTAAAATGGTTCAAAAGTTGCTTTTTCACATTTAAAAGCAGAAGTGTATGCAAAATTGGCATGGACATAGCAGTCGCTGGCCCCAAGGAGACTGGAGTGCTTACTGACTGCTCTTTGGCTATTGAGACAATTAATTAAAGTTATGCAGCAACATGAAAAGTTAAAACAGAAAACCTGCTGCTGTTTTTTTCCCTTTGCTTTAGGAGCCCACCGATTTTACGTGTGTGCATTTCCTTATGATACAATAGAGCCATCTGGTGGCAAATGGAACCAGCCATGAAAATAAAGCATTCATTCCATTCTTACAGTTGTTCATGTAGCACTCTGACCTTAGGGCCATGCCACAGGCCTCAGATATAAATGACACTCATGAGATGAGGGGCAAAGGAGTAGCTCTAAAACAGCCTGGCTCCCAGTGGCTGCAAATCTCCTCCAAAAGCTGGCTTTTGGGAGATGAACATTTTGGGCTAGAATGGTGATACTTGGGATGAACCAATGGTCCTCATCATGCCATGATGACTCCAATAATTTGAAGTCATTCCAAAAAAAATTCTCAAAAATACTAGCCTCAAAACAAAGTTCTTTACACTTACAGGTAGTTCATGCTATAAAACATTTTATGCAGAAAGGGGAAATTGTCAAGAGGCCAAATTTGTCCCAAAAGATTGGGAATCCCAGATGTAGGCTACTGTTTCCAAGGAGAATCTTCTGGTATCATGTAGGGTCTTTAGAGAAAGTTTAAAAAATTTTTTGGGAGTAGACCAAGTAAGATCAGCTAATCTGTTTCTCTAGGTCATTTTTCTCCAAACATCCCAAATTTCCTTGGCCAAAGACTACCATTTCCAATAAGACAAGCATCCTATCTAATAAAAGACAAAAAGGGTAATTAACCATACCTCCGCTACGCTTCCCATTGGCTAATCAGGGTGATATGCAAATTAACTGCCAACAAAGATGGCAGCCAGCAGCCACGCAGCTGAAGCGAACAGGAGGCTTGCTTGCTCCAGTGATGGAGGAAGCCAAGGTTCCCTGCCTGCTGCCGCCCGGCTCTGAGCTCCAGATGCAACAATGTTTCAATTATAGAAGGTAAATAAATCCCAGAATAAAAAGAAAAAAAAAAAAAAGGAGAGGCTGGGAGCTTCAGTCACCCGCCAGCCTGAAAACGGCCCTCAGCCCCTCACCCAGACTAGCCAGGCACCCCAGTGGGGACTCCCACCCTGAAGGGGGTGTGACCAGCTGCAAACAGCCATCAGCCCCTCACCCAGGCTGGCCAAGCGGGACCCCCACCCTGATCTGGGACACCCTTCAAGGCAAACCAGCCAGCCCCCACCCATGCACCAGGCCTCTATCCTATATAGTAAAAGCTTAAGTCTGCTCCCCGCTGGCAAGTGGACATCCCCCCAGGGCTGCCGGGCTGCCAGAGGGATGTCTGATTTCCATCTTAGGCCCAATCCCCCGGGGAGCAGGCCTAAGCCAGCAAGTGGTCACTCCCGAGGGGTCCCAGACTGCGAGAGGGCACAGGCCGGGCTGAGGGACCCCCCTCTCCCCCCAAGTGCACAAATTTTTGTGCACCAGGCTTCTAGTTGTATATAATGCCAAATGAAACAGGCTTGACTGAAGACTATTATGAAATAACAGGACTTTTTGTACAGGTAGATTTAAGAAATTGTCATGTGTTGTAGAACAGAGAGAGAGTCGAGCAAACAGTGAAGAATTCAATCTGTCTTCTTTATCCCAGCTGCAAGCTATCACTCTCCCCACTCTGACTTGCCTTCTTGTCCCTTAAGGGAGAGGTCCATAAATGTATCTTCACCGAGGTAAAAATGTCTTATACAAAGGCAAGTGCTTTTTAACAGGGGGCAACTCCCATTAGCCAAACAAAGGAATAAAAGTTAAATTGAGAATAATTTTAGAAATAAGTAAACACATGGGGCTAGGAGTTTTGGAGGTAGATGTGTAGTTTCAAGGATCTTAAAAAAGTTAGGTGTAGTCATTGTCCCAATTTTGCAGGATGCAATGGCAGATGAGCAGAAGGGTGGGACTTATACCATTAAGTTCATTCTGCTTCAGGCACATGTGGACACACCCTACATAAAGCAATCTCTGTTTATTATCAACATGAATCTGTCTTGGTGGTTAAAGTAATCGATGAATGAATTATATTCAACATGACATCGCATGTTGAAAATAGATGATATACATAGGTGTTTGGGGATTGAGCTCGTGTCTGCATTTTTCAAATG